ATTCCTATTTAAATTTATTTTACGTTCAAAAACCAATTTCTGGTTGTTAATGATTAAAACAACATGCTTGCTACATCATTTATAATAGATTTCTAAAATATTTTAAAAACTTTGTAAATAGAGTATGTGATAGGTACAACAATTTAAAGTGAGTATAACTTAAGAATATTTACATATGGCTTCCACATCATATTTTGCAAGGGTAATTATTTTGGGAAATCTTAATTCTCATTTTATTCAGTACTAAAATAACATTCATCATAATTTGAATCACCGATATTTTTTGATATTACTTATTGACAAAAAATATATATATTAAGAACGTATCCCGTACAAAAAATAGCATTGGGGACAACCATATCCTTATAGAAGTCCATACAAATTGTAAATGATTAAACAATCTGGGTAAATACATGTATTTGGAATGAACAGCAAAACCATGTTATCAAATCATTGCAATACTTTGAACAATTACATTTTGGATCGGTTCAAACTTACTTCAAAACAGTCAGAATGATCTGTCATAGGAATATTCTTCATTGTTCTATGCCTTTTTGTTTTTCTTTGTTGACATATTTGTTTGTTTTATGTTTTATAGTGATTAAGATTGTTGACTGCTGTACCCCTATTTGTGAGATGTTTACCTATTATGTCTGTTTGTTTTGTTCACACATCGTTGTCAATAAAATGGAATTTTATACGACTGTCATACAAGTAAAAGGTTTAGCTAGCTATAAAACCAGGTTTAATCCATCATTGTCTGCATAAGAAAATGCCTGTACCAAGTCAGGAATATGACAGTTGTTAACCATTCGTTTGATGTGTTCGAGCTTTTGGTTTTGCCATTTGCTTAGGGACTTTCCTTTAAAATTTTCCTCGGAGTTCGGTATTTTTGTTATATTACTTTTTTCTAGAAAAGCTCTACCACAGAACTATTCGTAGGTAGCTAAAAGTGTCAATATTTTTTAGTGTGCAATTATTCTAAATGACGTACGATGACCAATGTATACCACTTATAGTTGTCGGGGTAGTTGGAGGGAGTTTACTGCATATTCCCTATCATACTAATTTTAGATAAAAAGATTAAAACAAAATATTTAGTCTGTTTTTTTTATTTTTAAGTATTTTTCTTGGACAATACATTGTGAGTCATGGTTCCAAATGTTGCTAAACGTCTAAATGCCAAAATTGTTTTTAATGGCGGTATACTATATAGGTCATTAAAATATGGAATATTTCAGTTTCTCTAATTCTTACCCGATTTATCCTTTTCCTGACCTGTTGATAATTTTTATTTAATCAACGTGTGGTCCGTTTGATCTCAGTTCTTCATTGGTCAAAATTCGATTATGACGTCAAACTTTCTTGCTTTCCTCTGAATTCGTATTGTGACGTCATGAAAAGGGCGACCATGCCTGATAACGTCACATAGAAAGAACACATCTTTTTGCACACCATTCGAAAAGAAGGATTAAAATTGTCTGTATATCATCTATAAATCATTATAGAAATAGATTCCACCACCAAATCTCGTGTAATACGATATGTATCCACTCTCGTTAGTTAATTTTTAAATATTTAACTGTCAAGAGAGGATAAATATCGTATCACACTTGATGCAGTGGTAGATCCTATATATCTGTATATAGATTGACTAGAAAAGTTCAGCAAAAAATATCCAAAAAATTCAATAAATATTCAGCCAAAATTAAATAATTTCGTAGAACTTTTAAAAGTTAATAGGCAAACGGACCTTGGTCCGAGAATTAACCATTTTATGTGAATGGACAGAGGAAGAAACGACATTTAAGTACAAAATTCGATAGAACCTTATCATAAAATGGATAATAAATAGTTCTAATCCTAACCTTAACAGACATAATTTTTAGTCCGTTCTACTCACATAAAGACGTTTTTTTTTTAAATTTAATATCCGTTACGATAAGCAGGTTGATGTGCCAAACTTTAAATTCAATCTTTTAGTTATAACGGAAAAAAATAATATAGGATGGTATGCCATTGTTGAAAATACAGAGCAGATATGAAGAAATGTTCGTTTAACACCTGATGACATTTTATCAACTTTAACAACTGGTACGAGTTTTGGACCACGTGTATATGCTCTCAGATGGAGATAAAAACGTGTTAATAGAAATATACCTGAATTTGCATCGGATTTCTTATTTTACTTCATCAGATGTTGCCTTACATGAATATCTTGTGAAAATTAGGGCTCGAGCCCAAATCTATACAAGCTTTTCATAATCAAATATACAAACATTATTTGTTTCGTATTGACATAATTCATTCAAGTGAAGTAGGAAATAGAGAATAATATAGATTTTCTGTATTTCAAAAAGAAATCGTTTAAGATGGTGGTAGGCGAGATAACTCGACCTAACTACGATAATCAAGTTTTTTATAGAAGCAAATCGTTAATTTCTTTATTAAATAGAGTTAGTCACAGATCAATCAAATAATATTTAATTATAAGCGCCAGTTGTGGACGTACTATCCGATGACTTTCCTGATCGGAGATGATTAGACTGTTGACCACTATGGCTATTAGACGTTAAGAAAGCCCTTTGTTCATCTAATATTTAACAATGAGAACACTTTAACAGAATTACCCAATTGTAACTTGAAGCGTACAATTATAATGCGCACTTGTTTTCAAAAAGTTGTAAACTTTTGTTTTACTTTCGATTTAAGTTTAACTGAGTCATTTTGTTGAATATAGAAAATTACAGTGATATATCAAATGGAAACAAAATAATACAGAAATGGTAATTATAAAATCCTATCATATACTTAAAGTTGATAGTTCAGAACTGACAGTTGTTTTATAAATTTATGTACAAATCCAAATTGATACAAACGGTTCACTAATAATCTATAATATACATTAATTGCATAACACCTGTAATTAAACCACCACAATTTCAGAAAATGAGAGAAAACAAATTGTGTCATAAGTTGTAAGAGCCGTTTAAGCATACTATTTCATGTGTCGTAGCTATCAGTATATGATAAAGTTTGAGATCAGTTCAATGAGATGAAACATCACTGTGTTAATGATTCATTTATTAATTAAGACTCATATAATAAGTTGTGATGTACAGTTTGAGTAATCAACATAATAGTAAGGAAATTATTTGCATGCATTTTTTATCGCTGAACTCTTTTTGAACAAGATGTTTACATTGACAGACCGTTTGAGATATTGGTACAAATCAACCTGGTTGTAAAAAATAGGGATGTCAACATGTACTCGAGTGCTCTAGTATCGCTCGTTATTTCTGACTTTCGAATACCGAAATGATACTCGACTTATTGGTTTCCTGTTGAAATATTGTATCTTTCTTTCCAGTTTATTTTCCTTCAGAACACACTAATGACTCCTCAATATCATGAATATGTAGATTTGGTTCTTTAAGATTACAAAATGTAAATTTTCTTTCACCAGTTTGACTGTGTAGTAATGGTAATAATTTATATTCATATATGTGTTTTAACCAAATTATGAATTAGATGTAATGAATTGCTTTTATTTAATAAGAACAATCATAAAATTGCTGCTAATTATGGTTTATAATACTAGGTAATAATACAGAGGGGTTGATGTCTATAACACAACAACCCATAAAGCATTAAATGTGTATAATTGTGTTCTAATATTGTAAAAACAATATTCCGGTATGGTTTGGTAAAAATCAAGAAGTACTTCATAACTAAATCTTCACATAGTTGACATCCCTTGTATAAACCCATTACTTATATTGACAACTTGATAATCATGATAATCATGATAATACATGTACTAGGACAGCATCTAGTCATCCTGACTATTAATATATTGTTGAAAAACCAAAAGAGAAACATGCCAACATTTTTTCAAACTGATTGTACAGAAGATTTTTATTACATAAAATTTCAGACGATGTTAGATACATGGTAGACAGGCATGACAGATAGAGTAAATTATCAATCAAATCCAGAGAAAACTTGAATACAAATGTGGATAACAGAAAATGAAACCACAGCAAAATATAAAAAAAAAGCTCTCGTAAATTTCACAATCTACAGAATGTAGAACAGAGTTGGTAGTAATATTTTTTTTATTTTCTAGTTTGATAGATTTAGAGGTAACATATTTGAGCCTAAATTGGGCGGAGGTCTTGATGGATTTAAACACACATACAGATGTTATTCTGTGACCTCGTTACATAACAGAGAATATGTTGAGAGAGGTGGAAACAGTAAGATTAATAAACATAATTATCTTTACAGATTATCTCCCTTTAAATGATATTCATTCTTTGATAAAAAAAATATTCAAGAAGCTTTGGTAACCATCATTCCTATTGTTATTTTGACCCAAGAACACATTTATGTTGTAGTGCTTTTTTTTTAAACAATAAACACGAAGAAAAAATTAGGACCTGTTCTATCTCAAATAGATTTTCACAGTGTAGTGTACTTCTTTTGGGACAAATTATAGAAATTTTCATCAGCTCTAACTAAAAAAATGGACAACAATTCAATTTGACAGCTTCAGACATACTATAATTTTTAACTTTTTTAACTGGACCAACATTAATAAATCACTATTTTACCTTAAAATTCATGAACCTCATTTTGTTACATGTGATTTCATCTCTCTACTTAATATTTTATGTATAAAGTATAAAGATTTTAGATACAAAGAAATTATTGTGGAAGGTGTATGAGAAATATTTGCAAGTTATACACTGCCCACACAATTCCTATTGTTATTTTGACCCAAGAACACATTTGTATTGCAGTGCATTATTTTAGACAATAAACACAAATTAATAAATAGGACCTGTTCTATCTCAAAAACATTTTTACAGTGTAGTGTATTACTTTTGGGACAAATTATATGAACATTAAAGAAATTTTCATCATCTCTAACTCAAAATATGGACAACACTTGACCTTAGATGAATTTGGCTATTTGTTTGAGTTTTTTTGTCATATAGCTCTTCAACTGTTTCGGTACTTATACATCCCTCGGATTTCAAATGTTTGGCATTGAGCGTTCCTGATGAAGGTAAATCCAGAAAAGTGCTTCGGACGCATGGAATTATTAAACGTGTTGTTTCCAATTTTTTACATCACTGGGTCGATACCTCTGCTGGTGGACTATCAGTCCCCGAGGGTATCGTCAGCTCAGTAGTCAGTACTTCGGTACTGACATGATTTATGACAAACTTTTCTAAATTTGCCCGTTTATAAATTTTGAAATTATAAAGAAACTAAGGTTTCAACTCCCTCAGGCAAAGTTGACCTTAGATGAATTTGGCTATTTGTTTTAGGTATTTTGTCATATAGCTCTTCAACTGTTTCGGTACTTATACATCCCTCGGATTTCAAATGTCATTGAGCATTTTTGATGAAGGTAAATCCAGAAAAGCGCTTCGGACGCATGGAATTATTAAACGTGTTGTTTCCAATTTTTTTCAATCTGACAGCTTCAAACATACTATAATTTTTTAACTTTTTTGACTGGACCAACATGACCGAATCACTATTTTACCTTAAAATTCATGACCCACATTTTTACATGTAATTTCATCCCTCTACTTACTATTTTATGTATAAAGTATAAAGATTTAAGATACAAAGAAATTAATGTGTAAGATGTATGAAAAGAATTTGCAAGTTATACACTGTCCAGACTAGGGACTGTATTTGTAGACAAGAAAAATCAAAGGATGATAACTGTGTTTCCGAACTATATTTAATGACAAATTTGGAGGACAACCAGAAATATTGATAAAAGTTGAGATTTTTCATTGGTCAAACAGTCATCTCAAACATTTATCTCAAACATTAATCTCAAACATTTCATAATATTCCAGAAAAGTAGAATATGATTTATGTTTCTTATTTATTAAGTCTTGGTGTATTAAATTGGAATGAATTAAAAGAGATTTAGAGTGTATATATAAAAGCACAAATTAAACCCCCAAAAAACCAAATACTACAGATACAGTTAAGTCTGCCTCATATCTTGACTTACATCTAGAAATAGACAATTAGGGTCGGTTGAAAACAAAACTTTACGACAAAATAGATGATTTCAGCTTCCCAATTGTGAACTTTCCATTTCTATGTAGCAACATTCCAGCAGCGCCTGCATACGGAGTTTTTTTCTCCCAATTGATACGATATTCCCGGGCTTGTATTTCCTATCATGATTTCTTTGATAGAGGATTGCTGCTCACAAGGAAGCTATTAAACCAAGAGTTCCAAATGGTGAAGTTAAAATCATCCCTTCGTAAATTTTACGGACGCCATTACGAGTTGGTTGACCGTTATGGAATAATCGTTTCACAGATGATATCGGATATGTTCCTTATGTCGTAACTACAATACCCTCCCTTTTCACGAATGTGACTTACCGAATTAGACTATTCACCGGATTTGCAATAACATAAGCAACACGACGGGTGACACATGTGGACCAGGATCTGCTTACCCTTCCGGAGCACCTGAGATCACCCCCAGTTTTTGTAGGGGTTCGTGTTGCTTAGTCTTTAGTTTTCTATGTTGTGTCATCGGTACTATTATTTGTCTGTTTTATTTTTGGCCATGACGTCGTCAGTTTGTTTTCGATCTATGAGTTTGACTGTCCCTTTGGTATCTTTCGTCCCTCTTTTATCCTTATTCTGTTTTCAACATTAAACAATTAACAACACTAGTACAAGGTCTAAATCTCTCAAATATAGTTATTAATAAAAAATCAAATCATGCCCTAAATATCCTCATAAGTAGTTTTGATTAAATTCTACTGAAACTGCTAAAACCTTACATCAACAATCTGAATGTTACATCAAATTCAAAATGGAACTAAAACGACACATAATAAAGACACTGTGTCTTATTTCATGACTTACGCTTGGATGAGAACATAATATATATTCAGTCATTTTATATATATATATAATATATACAAGTCTACATTACAACAACGTTAAATCCTATGATTGCGTTGGATAAAAACCTCAATTTTTATACGGGTGCATGCAAAACAAATTTCTTGGTATAGGGGTCTACATACAGCACAAACAACATTTTACAAAAGACCAAAAAAGTGAAAAAGTATATTTTAGCAAAACGCATTTGACTAGCAGGTCGAACAACGGATATTCTCAAACCCTGTTGACTGCCATCATGGCGATTGCCAAATAAACGGATCACCAGATGTAACAAAATGGATCTTAATTATTAATTTAATACCAAACAGAAAACAATAAACTTGCGGAAAAAGATGGTATACCGCAAACATGAGGTGCAAAAATTGGTACACCATATCCGGATTTCGACAATTAATGTCTCTTCAGTGATGTTAGGAATCGAAACGGTATTTGGAAGGCCATATAATTTACCTCAATTTAGGATAGAATCTTGAATTTTGAAGAGTCGAAATAGGATAAACGGATTATATAAACCCGAAGGCAAATATAATACAAGCCCAAACGAAAAAATATAAACAAGTCTAAATTGAAAACAACGTTCAAACCTATGATTGCGTTGGATAAAAACCGCAATTTTTATACGTGTGCATGCAAAACAAATTTCTTGGTAGAGGGGTCTAAATACAGCATAAATATATATATATTTTAAACCTTACCTGTTTACTCCTAATTCAATGTGTTTATTTTCTTTCAGTTATTATGCCTCGCACTGCATTAATTCAACTAAGTAAGTATCACTACATGTTTGCTACCGTAAAAGCAAATCACGAATTAGATATGGAAAATACTCTAGTAACACATTTACTCAAATCAAAAGAAATTATAAGTAGAAACTCCAAATTTATAAAAGGAGATTTATAAAAGGAACTTCAACACTTCTAATTAATGTTCCTCTTTGTATCAACCAGTTTTATACTGTGTATGCATTCCAAAATAATTCACTAACTAAAATTAAAAATGGATTTTACAGCACGTTTAGATATACAATACCCTATGTTGTTTAAACTGAGGAACAAACAACAAGCCAGACACACACATTGTGGTGTATTAGAATTTGTAGCTGACGAAGGAAAGATTTATATACCTTACTGGGTAAGTATTCAAACAGGCACATACATTGTATTAGAGAGTTTGTATTTAAATACCTCACTGGTTACATAATATGTATACAAATCGTGGTGTATTGGAAGTTAGTTATAGAAAAAAGAAGAATATTTTACCTTATTAGGTCAATGTATCAACAGGTAAACACATTAGGGTGTATTAGGAATTTGTACCTGACAGAGGAAGGATTTATCAGTTTATTGATAGGGTTACACACATGGTAGTAAATTGGTAGTTTGAAGCCAACTTCAGAAGAATTTGTTTAATGTTTTGGATGAATAACCTATGTCTTTTCATAAGGAGAAATGTTTCATCTATTTAACCCTTTTGAATCATTTTCAGATGAGGAGGAACCTGTTACTAAATGAAGGTGACCTTGTGGAAGTAGAGAATGTTTCATTGAAAGTAGCCACATTTACAAAGTTCCAGCCACAGTCGGTTGACTTCTTAGATATTATATATCCGGAAGCTGTGTATCCTTTACAAAACATATTTGTAAAATGTTACTGCCTAATAATGGTTATATTAGATATACAGTTTTCATAGAGTAACACGTATAGTCGGGTAGTGGGTGGGGGTGGACTGTGCAGTTGCCAAGTGGTCTAAATAATTCATTTACAGTGAACATAACCTGTCAACTCTGATGTTATGAGTTCGAACCATGCTCTGGGATTGGCTGTGTTTCCAGTTTTCCTGCAAAAGGTATGGGGTAATTACACCAATAAAAACTGGCTGCCATGATGTAACCAAAGTAGTTGAAAGTTGCATTAAACACAAAAAACCCAAATAAATAAGTATAGTCAAATAATCACACACTCTTAAAAATACCATTGAAACTCTAATATCTGATTAAAGATCATCAAAACTAGACTGTACTCTTGCTCACTCACTCTTTAGCATAATTATAATTGCATCTTCAGTCCTTGTTAATTGCATTGCACACACTCAGCATCCTTGCAAATGACATATTGAACAATCAGAACGGTCCGTGTATATTTGCGTCCGTTCGTTTTATTATGAGATATCAAAAACAAAAAACGAAAAACGAAAGTGTTTTCATTTTTCGTTTTCGATTTCTCAAAAACCAAAATGAAAAACAAAAGTGTTTTCGTTTTTGTTTTTGATTTCTCAAAAACCAAACCGGAAAACGAAAGTGTTTTCATTTTTTGTTTTTGATGTCTCTAACACCAAAATGAAAAACAAAGATGTTTTCGTTTTTCGTTTTTGATTTCACTAAACCAGAAAAAATAATCGACATTTAATTTCAATACCTGTATTTTGCTCTATTTAATTCTCGGTTTACATTGAACAATGTTTTTCTTTCTTTTTTCATATCCATTGATTATATAATATGCCAACGTAGTCCGTTTTCATCTCTATAATTACCCCGGTGTTTTTTAGGCTTAATGTAGACAAAATAGACCGCCTGACTTATGAATCCAACTAAGGTGATAAATGAATCAAAGACTTTCAAATATCCTTGTTTTTATCTACAATAAAAAAATGATTATATCTAAATATTAAATGAATCACAAATTTAAATAGTACAATGAAATATTATATACAGATGTTGAAAATAAAACGATTGATTACAACATCACATTAATAAGGGAGGTTAATACTTATTTGATATGAAAACTAGCCCTGTCGTCGTTAAAGTATGCACAGCGGTTATCAGATCAATAGTATTTAAATCGGAGATATTGTCGACAAATGGAAAAGACTTTATCAATCTGAAAATTTGAAAGCGACGAGGCCAATTTTCCTTGGACTTATTTTACTCATAAGGTCAAAATCTAAAATTGGTCTGCACATTGAAAATTGAAGATGACGTTATATACATGTATTTTGTGTCAAAGTTTTACATATTCCCCTGAAATCAAAATACTATTCAATGCTATATGTTTCTGTTGAAGGCATTGTAATACAAAATTGCAAAGGGTTAGAGCCTAATTCTCAATAACTTTTTTCACTCACAGGGTCTTAAATGTGTTTTTCATATCTTTATCATGATTGAAATGTAATATTAAAAAGTTCATATTATATATATTTTTTTTGTAATTTAAGTTCATTTATATGTTTCGGAGTTTAGTGTGACGTCCATTTTCACTGAACTAGTACACATTTGTTTATGTGCCAGCTAATGCCCGACTCCAGGTGCTGGATTTTCTCGCTGTGTTGAAGACCCATTGGTGACCTTGGGCTGTTTTCTGCTCTTTGGTCTTGTTGTTGTCTCTTTGACACATTCCCCTTTTCAATTCTAAATTTTATTTTAACAATTTTACACATAACTAAAAATGCTGTTCCGCGTTTAAAATTAAGCGATTATATTGTAAAACCCTTAAAGTGTACACTTTGGGATGTGGTACTATGA